ACACTTAAAATAAATAATTTTAACCATAAATTTCAGACCCACGTCAACTCCTAAACGAGTTATTGATTGTAAATCGTCATTGAATTTGAATATATCTGGTGTACAGAGTGAGAGTTTGTTATGGGATCATTCATCAATTCGTCAAAATCTAATCGAAGATACATTAACTGTAGTTTCTGATCTAAATGATGTTCAATCACATAATTTGCAAACTGAAATAGAAAATGATGATTTTGAGTATGTAACTCGTAAATATAAATATTTTTTTTACAAATAAATTTAAATATTATATTTCAATATTGTAATTTTTATCAATTTAATTCTGTTTTATAGAAACCATACCGTCCCATTATCTGGTAGACGAATAGTAGATATTAACCATATTTTTAAACAAATTCAAGACTGTAAACATAAGGGAGGACTCGATTGTTCATTTATGTCAATGGTATTTGTTTCTGAACAACGAATTGGTTTTTTTTCCAAATTTAAATTTAAGTGCCGAATGTGTAATATTGAAACTATTATTTCTACCGAACCAACAAACGAAACTTACCTTCCTATAAACAAGGCTGTTATAAATGGTACTGTTGCAATAGGTAAGATTGTTAATTTATTATAAATAATTCTTCAATAGTTATTGTCTAATACTTAAGACTCTAAAGTACCTATTTCTTTTGTTAAATTATAACTTTTTTAAATCACCCGAGAACATAAAAGGTGGCCAAGTGAGTAAAGCTCTGCTGTATCATGTGGGTCACAGTAATGGATGTTTAAAATTTGAATTCGATGACATTATACTATTAACATAACACTCTATAAGACTCAAGTATATGTTACAGTTTGAATGTACTTTTTATTTAAAAGGAATTGGCCAAACTCAATTGTTTGAACTATCATCTGCATTAGAAATACCATGTATGGCAAATACCACCTTTAGTAGACAACACGAAGATTTAAGTTCAAGTATTCACAGTTTGGCTTGGGAAGAAATTAGGAAAGCCGGAGAAGAGGAAAGACGATTGGCTATAGAAGCTGGAGATGTAGACGACGATGGAGTACCATTTTGCTCAGTAGTGACTGATGGCCAGTGGTGTAAGCGAAGCTACAAGACCAAATACGATTCATTATCTGGAGTGGTAAGCCATATAAATTAAAATTATATTGTAAAACATATTAAAATAAATAGTGATAATTTAATCATTGAATAGGCCACTATTATTGGATTTAAAACCAAAAAAGTATTGTTCATTGGCATTCGAAACCGCTACTGTGTGATTTGTAATCGAGCTGAAACTACAAATGAAACACCTCTAGACCATACTTGTTTCCTTAACTGGACAAAATCAGCGACAGGTATGGAAGCTGATGGTATAGCAGAAGGTTTTTTGAAAAGTATCGATTTACATAATATGAAATTCAAAAGGCTAATTGGTAAGTACCTATAATAGCATCTAAAAAAATCATTAAAATATTTCAATTATTTATTAACTATGACACAATGTTGTGTCAAAAAATTATATTTAAAATTTTAAAACTATATATATATACACATATATGACTCATGTTATAGGCGATGGTGACAGCAGTGTCACCAAACGGTTAAAAGATATTTTACCTTATGGTCCTCATTTTTTGGTCGAGAAAATTGAGTGTCGTAACCATATGTTACGTAATTATATGCAAAAATTGACAGCAATAGCAAAAAAAATCGATCTTTCCAATTAATTTGAGGAATTTTATTCTTCGACATATTATGAGATTTAGAACTGCTATTGTAAGAGCTATACGGTATAGAAAGAAGGAGAATGTATCAGAAACACTAAAAATTTCAAGTATATAATATAAATACTAACGTAATAGCCAAGAGGTTTACCATTACAACAGTCGTTTGTATAATTTGTTACAGATTTAGCTAAAGATTTATATAATACTCCATACCACATTTTGGGGCAACATTCAAATTGTGATACATACTTCTGTAAAAAAAAAAACACTGTTAGAGAAAAATTGGGTGTTACACTCAGAAAAAATGTGGAATGATGATAGAAATAAATACTATCATTAATCGATTAGTCAGAAATTCTAAAAGTTTAATATTAGATTTAGACAATAATGTATGCGAGCAATTTAATAGTATTATTAATAAATATATTGGTGGCAAGCGAATAAATTTATCACAACGAAATGCTTACAATGCCAGGGTTGAGGCAGCGGTCATTGCATTCAATTCTAAACAATATTTAAGAGCAATAACGAAGAATATCACTACTAAAAGTCCAGGTTTTTATCGAAAAATAATATAATAATATTTGTTTAGTAAAATTATTAGATTTTGTATGTAATATATCGTTTTAGGAAAATTTGGCAAACAATTTTTGAAAGATGCCAATAGAAAGAGATTAAATAATACAAAGAGGCGAGCACTATTTCCAACAACGTCAAAAAAAAAGAATTAAAAAATCAGGTCCGGATGAAAATTATGGTTTAGCGGAAGAATTGCCTGATGATATTTGTCCGGAAGAATTGGAAAATCAAAAAGTGATTTTTTTAAACAAATTAAGGGATATTGATAGAGGTAACAAACGTAATGGAATTTTTGTATAGTAAAATTGTAAAATATAAATTATTTTAATTGAATATAGATGAACTAGAAAAAGGTACTAGAGAACAAGCGAAATCTCAACTATGGTTTTTGGAAAGGAGAAAAAGAATAACTGCGTCTAGAGTAGGAAAAGTTTGTAAAATGCGACCATACACATCGTGTAAAAAAACAGTTCACGAATTACTATATGGAGAATTAAATTATAAAATAAAATCTATAGAATATGGATGTGTGATGGAAATAGTGGCAAAACAAAAGTTTGAAGAAATATTTAAAACCGTTATTAAACCTGTAGGTTTATGTGTGGATGAAAATGTTCCTTATATAGCAGCAAGTCCAGGTAATCAAATTATATTTAAAATGACATTAACTATGACATAACATAAATTGTTACTTGTGTAGATGGTCTTATTGAAGACGACTCTATTATTGAAATTAAATGTCCTTTTTCTGCGAAAGCTGAAGTAAATGTGTCCGAAGCGATTAAAAATGGAAAAGCAAATAAATTAAATAATATAATTTTAGTAATTTTAAATTAATACGAGTATATGACATTACTTGGTAGGAACATCGTACATCAAATAAAAAAAAATTTAATATATCAAACTTTTATAGGTATCATTTTGCCAAATTGACAACAAAAAAATGTGTAACATTAAAAACCAACCACGACTATTATTACCAAATTCAAACACAGTTACATGTTACAAAAAGAACGAAATGTTATTTTTTTATTTTTACTGATAACTGGTATTATAATATAGTTATATCATATGACGTCAACTTTTGGAACACAAAAATAAAGTCGCAGTTAGATATGTAAGTACCGCATGCATTGTGTATACTTAAAAAATTACCTAATCAATACATTAATTTACTGCAATACATATTTTATACATTAGATTTTATAACGAATGTTTACTGCCTGAATTGGTTAGTCCACTATTTGGCAAACGTTTTTTAGTTAGTGATATAAGAGACCCGGTGAGAATTTTGAAAGAACAGGAAGCCAGAAAAAAATAGTAAGTAGTAAAGTGTAGGTGCTTACCTATTTAATAAATTAACTATTTATTTAATAATTTTTAAAAATTATTATATTTCATTTTAGGTGACTATCTTTAATAAGTAACGTGTTATAGAAAAAAAGGCCAACTAAATAGTACCTACATATCAGAGTATGCTGAAAAAATACTGAGTACCATTTTATTTGTTTTATTGGTTGTTTTTAAATCATAATAAAAATGTAATGTTTAGTAATAAACAATGTTAACTAAAAAAAATTAGAAACTTATAATATACATTTTTCACGTGTATTTTAAAAGTAAGTAATTAATCTATAAATATAAATCAAGCTATGCTGTAAGCAATTTATTGTGCTTTATATGTGTATTGATACACATGGTAAAGTTAAGAGAAGCTCTAGTGAATAGGTAGGCTGTGAGCTTAAAGGCTGTAAAGCGAAAAGCGAGCGCGCAGCGTACCTACTAACAAATTATAGCCGATATAAATACGCTACGAAACGTCCAATATCACTATCCGTGGTATAATAATGTGCCTCTCCGGAAACTACAGTACGCGGACCGTCACGGTCGACAATTTAGTAGGCGTGGTTATGACCTGCCGCGGCGCCGCCGATACGGCGCGCAACGCCATCTCTGGAGCGTTGCATACGTTTTGTTTTGCGCTGACATCCTCTTAAATAATCAACAAAATAGTTTTAAATTACAAAATAATCAAAACGAATTAGGAGTACGTGCTAGTTTTGTAGTTGCCGAAATGATAGCCAAGTCTAATCGTCTAATGATTCTGAGTTTATAAAAAAATATATGTTAGCCGTTCTAACATTGGCGCAACTAGGGGGGGACTTAGGGGGGCTTAGCCCCCCCAAAATGTATTATAGCCCCCCCAAGTTGTTTTGATTATTTAAAATGTAATGATAATTTAAGCATGGGATAGTGAGATACATACTAAATAATATGAGTATATGACGCAGAGAATTATTCAAAAGTAAATTGTATAAATATAAAATATTATTATTATAGTTTTTTTTGTAATTCCTACAATCCTACATAATTAATAATAATATTGTTATCTAATAAATGTGACGGACGACGGTGGAATATTGCGGTGGTTCACTGCGACAACGTCTAATAATCGAAATCCCGGTATTTCCGACTGTAAATAAATAATCAGAGTCGAATAGTCGATCTGTGTTTTGGGATTCTCCGTGGCCAGTGCTAATCAATTGCGTGTGTGCAAACCGTATATAGTGACGATACTGTACTGTACTTCTGTTGTGTTTGTGTATTGCACTACTACAGACTGCAGTATTATTTAATATTTATACCTTGGAACTTGGAAGTGTTTTATTTTGGTGTTAATACTTTAGTGAGTAAAAATGGACAAAAAAAAAGTATTTAGTATTTTTAATAAACCAAAAAAAGTATCCAGTACTAGTACAGTTGATACAGTTGAAAACCAAAATAATCCAGACGATCCTCCAAGTTTTTCAAAAAGCATGAAAGTAAGTAAATTTAATTATTTTAATATATTATTCAATTAAACTTAAATGTAAGTTTTTAGATATTAAAATATTATAGTTTGTATTTTTAATTGTATAGCAACCAAACAAAGAAGTTGATTGTATGCCAACTGATCTGGGAGATTTGCAATCCGGTCCAATTCGTCCAAAATTACAAGTAATTTATAATTTCAGTTAAACAAAAAATTACACAATATCCTATTTTTTTATTTTACATTTTTATTTGGAATTTCTAAACTGTAGAAAGTAAATGCATGATTATTATTTATTAATTATTGTGTTAATTTTTTTTGTGATAGGTGTATCCAAAGACCAAGTTTGGGAACCAAAATAGAGCTTTTTCAGCAGTTTGGTATGAATATTTTGACTGGTTAGAGTACAGTATTGAAAAGGATGCAATTTTCTGTTATGCTTGCCGCAATTTTTCTACACACTCTGTTGAAGATACTTTTGTTCAAAAAGGTTTCAAAAATTGGAAAAAAGTATGTTTACATACTATAAAAATAATTTGAAATTCTCATGGTATTTTTGATTGGTTGATCCTTACTTTTTATTGGAATGACCTTTTTAAGAATATGAAAATAATATGATAGCAATTGCCAGTTTTTTTATTAGTTACTAAGTGTTATTATATGTTTAGATAAGTGGTTCTACTGGATCTGGATCTTCTAAAAGGTCCAAATCAAAACTTGCATTGCATGCTGCTTGTAAACAGCATCTTATAAACAGAGAAAAATGTAACTCTTATATTTTGAGCAAAAAAAATGGTTCAGTGCATGCCGTGCTATCAACTGCTCATTCAGAACAAATAGAAAAAAATCGAAATTATGTCAAAACTTTAATTGACTTGATTCTATTTTTGGCCCGACAGGGATTGGCTTACCGTGGGCATCTAGAGAGTAAAGATTCTAATAATCAAGGTATATAAATTTTTTTTTAATGATAATTAGATAATTAGAATAATACATTTTGATAATTAGGAAATTTTAAGGAATTGTGTAATGTTATGGCCAAATATAACCCGACATTTGCTACTCAGTATGCATTGCAACATACAAATTATTCTAGTTGGAAGATTCAAAATGAACTGATAAACTGCTGTTCTAATACTGTGTTATTAAATATTATTAGTGATATCAAAGACTGCGGATATTTTGCTTTAATGTGTGATGAGGCAAGGTAAATCACCTAATTGTGTTAAATATTGAATTAAGCTATGTGGTATCATATAATTTATATATAATATGTGAAAATTATTTTTAGGTGTTTTAAAGAAGAACAATTAGCTTTATGTGTTAGGTATTCCAAAAATCTACACATTTTTGAAAGGTTTGTTGGATTTGTAGATGTGTCAATAAGTCAAAACGCTGAAGCATTATCATCTGCTATTTTATCATTTCTTGACAAACACAACATTCTGAATGTACCCATCATAGCACAAAGCTATGATGGAGCAAATGTTATGTCAGGTGACCACAATGGAGTACAAAAAAAAATTAAAGACAAAAACCCTTTTTCTATTTATATACACTGCATGGCCCACAGAACTAATTTAGTGGTAATTGATATGTGTAAATCAATTAAGGTATGTTGGTGACTGGTGTATACTTTAGTATCTAATGTAGTAATGTCTCTATGTAAACTAATTTAAATTACAAGTACTAAAAATTGTTTTTCATTATTCAGGATGCTAGAAATCTTTTCAATGGGTTAGAAGCGTTGTATATCCATTTTTCAATCCCATCAAAAAATATGATGTTGGTTGATATACAAGAGAAACTTGGAATTAAAAAAACAAAACTATGTTCGATTAGTGATACAAGGTGGTCTTGCCGTTTTAAAAACTGCAAAATGGTGATGGAACATTATTCTTCTATAATAAAAGTTTTAAAATATGAAATAGAGGAAAATACTGACAAAAACGTTGCAAATGCTATAGGTTAGATTACTTACTCATATATTTCCATTTAACACAAAATTACATTGTTTAGTGTATTTTAAAAGTTAATTTTTTTAGGAATCCTGTACACAATGGAAAAAACTTCATTTCTTGTGCATTTGTTTGTTTTACATGAGATTTTACTTATAATTAATATACTAAGTAACAAACTCCAGGAAAAGACTGCAACGTTGAGTAAAGCATCTCAAGTAATAGATTCTGTTATTGCTACCCTAGAAGCTAATCGCTGTGAAGAACATTTTTTAACAATTTGGACTCAAATAACTGAATTTTGTACAAAAAACCACATACTGTTGGAGATATCCATGAATGGTACATTATTAATAAATAATAAATTATATGCAAATAGTTTTTAGTCATTAACAATAGTAGTTGAAAATTGAAATTAAAAGGCTTTTTATTTTATTAGGATCTAAGAGAAAAAGAACACAGCCAAATAAACTAAGTAATTATATAACAGAAGTAAATACTGGTGAAAGTGAAGAGCATAGCTCAAATGATATTATGACATGCTATCGTGTCAAATATTTTATTATTTTGGACACTGTAATAATGAATCTTAAAATAAGATTTTCAAAAGAAAGTATGGAGTTGGCTAAAAGTGTGGATGGCTTTTTAATGTTTGACTATTCAAAAAGCCTTACATTTATAAACCATTATAAAGTAAGTTAATTAATTGTTTTTAAATTAAACATTAATGAAAAAATAATGTTAATGCTAATTTATTTTTGTATAGAATTTATTGAATATCGATTTGGAAAGTTTGAAGGCAGAAATGATGGTAGCACAAAATCTTAAAAAACAATCTACCGATAATAAAATGATGACACCTGCAGAAATGGCTGAAATTGTATCACCTAACACTTTTCCAAACTTGTATAAATTGTTGAACGTAGCTTATACAATTCCTATTAGTAGTGCCACTTGTGAAAGAGCATTCTCTGCTATGCGGCGGGTAAAAAATTGGCTACGTTCAACAATGTTACAAGACCGTTTTTCAAATTTATCTTTACTAAGCATTGAAAGAGACTTAACTAATAACATAGACAGCGATACTGTCTTAGAACATTTTATAGCTAATAATAAAAATAGACGGATAGATCTTAATATGTAAATTACAAATTAAGATTATCGATTATGTCATATTTTATGTAAAACACTACATAGAAGTAGGTACATGATTTTTAATAATATAGTATGATAATAATATTTTATGAATTTATGATTGTTTTTATTTCAATTAATAATTATTGTTTTGTGGCTGCGGCAATGAGGGGTATGGGGGGCGAAGCCCCCCATGACTCACATTGACAAAATTTATGTGTAGGGCTTCAGCCCCCCCAATATTTTAGACCTAGTTGCGCCAATGCGTTCTAAATGAAATATGCCCTGAGAAAAAAAATCAATTTGAAGATATCAGTCTTTCAGCTAGGACCTGTATTAAACGTACCGAATAGTTAGGAGCAAATTTAATTTTAAAACTGAAAGAAAAAGTTTCTACATTTGATTGTTTTTCTATCGCAACCGACAAAAGCACTGATGTTTGTGATACTGCTCAGTTATTAATATTTATTCGAGGAATTGATTTGAATTTTAACGTTTCTGAAGAAATGGCTGAACTATGTAGTTTGAAGGGAATTACTACGGGAGAAGACTTATTTATTGAAATTGACAAAACATTTAAAAAATTTGATTTAAGTTGGTAAAAACTAATTAGTGTAACTACAGATGGTGGCAGAAATATGAGTGGAATTATTAAAGGATTAATTGGGAGAATAAATGCAAAAATGGTGGAAGAAAGACATGACGCACCTATGATATTTCATTGCATCATACATCAAGAGGCATTATGTTGCAAAGTTTTAGCATGGAAAGATGTAATGAATTTACATGAATTTTTGTAATGAATTGTAGTATCGACGGTTAATTACATACGTAAAAATGCTTTGGCACATCGTCAATTTAAAATGTTTTTGGAAGAATGCGATGCTGAATATGGGGATGTAATATATTTTTCTGAAGTAAGGTGGTTGAGTAGAGGTGTAATTTTGAAACGGTTTTTTATTTTACGAAATGAAATAAATATGTTTATGTCAGAGAAGGGTAAAAATGTACCAGAGTTATCGAATGAAAAGTGGGTTCTTAATCTTGCATTTTTAACTGATGTAACAACTTTAATGAATGAACTGAATACGAAACTGCAAGGTAAAGACAAATTTTATCAGATATGTATTCAGATATAAAATCATTTCAAGTGAAATTAAAATTATTACACAAATATATTAATGAACAGCGCTTGGATCATTTCGTATGTTGTAAAATTGTATTTGAATTGTCCAAATTAAATTTATATTGGGAAACTATTATTGTAAGAATCCGAATTAATTTGTGAGTCTGATGGTATACTTAAAACATGGGAAAAATAATGTGCGAAACCGTTTATAATATCATCACCACCGGAAATAGTGTTACTATTGTAATACATGGAATTTGGAAGAGATTGAGTTGAACGTTTGCTATTTACATATTGCCAAAAAAATTTAGGATTTTTAGTAATGGAGTTTTGAGTTTTTTGGATATATATATTATAATCTATTTTATTTTTAGCTTTACAGCGCGCACGTAAATTAAAAAAAAATGTTATAATTATGTGAAGTAGGCGATTGTTTATATATTTTATGAGCAATTTTTTTTATCAAAAATTAACTTCTTTAATGAATGGCTGAACCAATGAGGGTGCTTTGGTAAATATAAAGTTTTAACTTGGCAATAGGTATTAATTATTTTAAAAACGTTATCATAGAATGTGTTAGGCCGTCTACACACGGAGCTATTCATTAGAAACTAATTACTGACGCAAATCACTAACCAGTTTACGTTTAGTCACTTGCTTAATGTTGTCCAATAGAACACGACAGACGGCGCTACTGGTTTACTAATTAAGTACTAACGCGGAGTGATTCAGTTCCAAGTGATCTTACTGCGAGTCACTTGAATTGCGTCTACTGAATTTCGTAATTTGAATCAATATTTTCTGTTTAATTCTTCTGTTATTAAATTAAAGAATTGAGGTTAACAAAACTCAACATAAAGTTTGTATTAAGAGGGAGAAACATCCATTTTAGCAATCACTCTTCCTGATTATTCTAGGAAGGATGAGATGAAATAGCATGGAACGAAGCTGAAAACTGTGAATATGTACAGTATAATAAACCATAATTTTATTACATTATTTTTTTTTTCAATTTATTGGTTATAAATAAGTGAAACAGATAATAATATGTAATATTTGTCTACATAATGTGTTATATTATATTATTTTAAAGTAGGTATTATAAATTATATATATATAAACATTAGTTACAAAATATTGGATTATTCATAATATTAATTTTAAATATAGAATTTAATCGATTAAATTAGTGAAAACCCACAAATGCCTCAACGTAATAATATAATTTATCGTTCTCTCATACATTGGTACTACATTTCGTCTATTTTCAGCTAAATATATGTTTTTCATAGGACTAACATCGTGAATCGGTGCCAATATTAATATATTAGATATTATAGCTACAATTTTTTTATTTTATTTTCTTTTACGAAGATTATTGTTATCAATTATAGTATTAATTTAAAGAAAAACGAGTTCTGTTATTGCTAAAAATACGTAAAACATTTAATTTGTGTTTAACATGAATTTCACATATGAAAACAAGAAAATTATGTAATTAGTAAATGAACAAAATTAATTATAAGTAAGTTAGTTAATAGTATATTTCCATTGCCAAGGCACAGATCCTCGTGGGGTAAGAAAATAATTAGCTAAATAATTTCTAAGTGCGGCTGGAGAAGAGGTTTCGTTTATTGTCATATTTTGTGCAGTAGTTCTTACATCGATGTGGTCATTAGGTTCACAGTCCTGGGGATAGGTAGATACGTACGGAAGTCCCTCTAGTTTTCGTACATAGTTATGGAGGACGCGTGCGGCTTTGATGACGAAGTTCACATTTTCGGGCTCTCTAATGCGAATAGGACCATTTAAAACAGCAAACTTTTCACATACCATGCCAAAAGTACATTCAATGGTTTTCCTTGCTCTGCTAATTCTGTAGTTATATATTCTTTTTACATTATCCAAAACTCTTTTAGGGTAAGGTCTCATTAGATATCTTGACAACGGAAATGCTTCATCGGCAACAAAGTAATATGGAAATGAGCTGTAGTTCTCATCATAAGTCAATGGTGAGGGGGTAGGAATATCAAGTTCACCACGATGTATCCAATATTTCATTGCTGAGGCCCTGAATATACCTGCATCGTTATTTCTTCCGGCATAACCCGTTTCAATCATTGTGAATAAACCGTCAGCATCACAGCAAGCCAATAACACTGTCGAATGATATGATTTGTAGTTAAAATTGGAAGAACCACTATTCGCAAACTTCTCAATTCTGACGTGTTTGCCATCGATCGCTCCTATGCAGTTTGGAAGATTCCAGAGAGTCTCAAAACGTTGCGATATTGCTTTCCACTGCTCTCTATTCGGTACCTGCATGTATTTGTCCTTCAACACTTCCCAAATCACTTTTGATGTGTCCGACACAATCCCGCCAACTGTGGACTCCCCTCTAGCGAAATAAACTGCAAGTGATGCAAATGTTCCACCAGTACCTAAGTATCTGTATCATAGAGATAAAAATACATTGGGTAGTTTAAGACAATTTCTATAGTAAATATTATAATATCAGAGCTTTTATTAAAATTTCTAATGTAAGCTGTGAAAATAAAACTTTTATGAATTTCTAATAACTGAAAAATAATATACAATATTTCAAAAATGTTCATGGCTTTTTTTCAATTTACACTTAATAATTTTATTGGGTTTTTAAAAATATTTAAAAAGAATTTCAAACCCTGTATAATTCTTTAATAATTTTTGTTTGTGACAGCGGCTGAATGCAAAGAAAGATGGAAGAATATTCGAGCGGTTTTTGTGCGAAACATGAAACCTGCCCCAAGTGGCGCAGGAGCGAAAACAAAGAGGACATATTATTTGATGGAATCTATGCAATTCACAATACCATATATAAAGGCATTAGGTGCACCTTCAGGAAATTTACCAAACCCTCCAGAACAAAAAGAAGATAAGGAATCTGAAGAAAATGATTCGACCGCCAACGAAGAAAACGTTTTGGAACCGCAATGTTCATTTCAACAATCGCCAACCCCATCTCTACCACATCCATCTTCACCGTTACCATCACCTACACCACTACACACAACTGAAATGACTCAAAGCAATAAAAACACTACTCACAGTCAACCTGAGCCGTTTCCATCAAATCTGCCAAACCGAAAACGTAGCCTTAAGAACCCAGTTGATAAAGCATTCCTCGAATACTTCGAAACCAAAAAAGCCAGAGCGCTAAATTCATCTGATCATATGAAGCAGGATCCAAAAACAGAAGGTTTGAAAATGTTTTTACTTAGCATGCTACCAGATCTTCTCAAAATGTCAGACGAAGGAGTACGACTTTTCAAGAGAAGAGCCCTGCAGTCTGTTGATGACATTTTATCACACAGTTTGGAGTACACACCATCAAATACATTTTCAGCCTCATCTACACCTTCGACACACTCTGAAATTATGTATATACCTCAGGATGCAAATGTGAATAATACTTCGCAATTAAACAGACTAGGAACCTCAAGCAGTCAAAGCACAGCACATTTTTATGACGTAGTAAATGAAGCTTTGAGTGAAGTTAACCAAGAGGAATACAATACGCAATTATTTGATCAATAACATGTCTAAAAATTAACTGTAATTTTTACATTTATTTTATTTTTAAATTATCATTAAAAAGTGTTTAATAATTAAAAAGGTTGTATTTTATAATTTTTTATAATTTGAATATAATTAATTTTTTTTATTAAGTATGTGAACAGAAATTTCTTACCTGAGAGTAATTAATATCCGCTCCTCAGCATTGACACACTCTCTCATATTCGTATTTTTTTTGTGAATGGCAGGAGAAATCAGTTGTACTAATTGTAAGTAACTATCTTTAGACATGCGATAAAAGCATAAAAATTTAGCATCAGAAAGATTCAATTCTCGCGCTGCAACAAATAGTCGATGGTGAAAATTTCTTTCAATGTATGGATGAACCCAAAATCTTCTTCGTTTTCTATTTCTTTTGGTATGGCAATAGTAATATGCAATCATCATTTCTTCATCACTGGAATCATCCATGGTGTTAAAAAATGACGATACAGGTCCTCCTTCGATAGCCGAACAGTATAAACTAGTGATTTCGATTACTTTTCAATATGATCGTGTGCGGATCCGAGTTACTAATGCGTTAGTAATCGATAAGTAACTTAAATCACAAACCCGTTTAGTTTCTAATGAATAGCTCCGTGTGTAGACGGCCTTAACTGCATCATTGATATCTAGACCATTAAATATGCCATTTCAGTCTAATGAAGCAAGATTAAATCTAATACAATTTTAATCACAGTAAAATGTTGTATTGGGGACAAAGTCCAAGTTCTGCATCGATAACATTGGTAGATAACCATGTTTCCGTAAGTATAATAATATCATATTTACAGAGAAAAACATTACGAATAAACAAATCTAGTTTAATATTAATACCTCGAATATTCTGATAGTAGATGGATGGTTGATTTACATTTGCTGGGCTCGTTGACCGTTTTTTGAAATGGTCGGACAGTTATTAACAAACTTAATAAAAAGATCAGTTTCACCAGCATCTTTACGTAATTTCATTTCAATGGCAATAGAAGAATACAGCTTACGCTGTTGTAACGTTTGATCAGATGAAACTCGAACAGTTTTAAATTTGTCAACATTAAATAGCTGCCGTTTGACTTTTAAAATTTGAAAAACATCCGTTGGTGACGGCATAACGACACGTATAGGACGAGGTTTATTTGAGGGCTTTCCCAATCGATGAACAGATAGAGGTTTAGTAGGTACGCTGATGACATTAAATATTTCATCAACAAGACTAGAGTCATTTTGCTGGTCAACACTGGTTGAAAAATCTGGTACATTAAATAATATAATGTTACGAGCTCTAGATTGACGTACAGTGGCGTATTTAAGGAAAAACATGGTCATAACTTAAATAACATTCTAAGGTGATAATACATCATTAATATTCATTAAAGTTGCAAATTTAATTTATTTTTAGAGCAAGTTATAAATAAACTTATGATTTTGTACATTATTTTTAAAATAAGAAATACAACATACAAAAAATAAAAAATAAATAAATATTATTTTAAAAATAAACTTCCATTCGCTAGTCGCTACTATCTGTACTGGAATTATATTCAGAATCTGAACTGGAATCGTTAATATTTTCTTCGGTGTCTAAATTATAATCAGGAGGTTGTAACAAGTCTAAAACTTCTTTAGAATAAGTTTTCAGTTCTTTTTTTGGCAGGTTTCTCATACTAGATATATATGGATCTGATGATACAAGAAGACGATTGAAAACGTCTTCCATTGTAACTTTTCTTGACATTTTACGTGAAAAGTCCTCACGATATTTTCTAAAATCCTTATTACGTGCCTCTTGCGCTTCCTCGGACAATTGACCAATAGGCAAGATACAAGACGATATAACTTCTGAACTATGAATTAAAATTTTATGTACAGTTGTAGACATTGGATACCATGGATATTTATTGACAAAGTTTTTTGCCGTATCAAGAGTAAAAATTTTGAATTTATCCACATTTATATTATAACCACTTGATATGACTAAAAGTACAACTTGAAATTGTTTTATTATACCTTCATCTATTCCAGTTATAGAAGATGATATGAAAGAATTTTCAAAAAATCTGCGTGCCGTATTTCCATCATTTGAGGAACCGAACCCAGGTTTTGGTTTATCTACTATTAGTCCTAATTGTGATTTAAATTCTTGTTGAATTCTAATTTTATTAGTTTTAATAAGTTCCTTACTTTTGCTATCTAATACTCGCCATTATTTTACATTTAATTTGTAAGCTAAATGAAGCAAACATTCAAAAAATCGTATCCAGACATGTAATATAGATAGCCCAAAATTTAACTTTATGTTCGATTCGTCGATTTTTATACGAGTTATTTTACTAATGTCATTTAAGTCCTTAGATGTTGCACCGCAAATGTAACATTTTAACGTGGATTTATTATCACACACTGCATTGCATACTTTTCCGTCGACCATAGTACATAATAATTGATAATTTACTACCACTTCACGATCATTAAAAATAAAAGAAGAAGGAATCAATGATTCTATTTGATTTTCTATGTTCTTGGTTTCAATAGTAATTACTTCTGTGGTTTCGTGGATAAATTTAATTTTTATTGGGCAACAAAATCTTGATGATGGTCGTGGATTTGTCCATACATATATTGGTGGCTTTTCATTATTTTCACAGTAAATTAATTGAAGAGGGACAAGCGATATTAAAAAAACGTTATCATCAGAACTATTATTGTCCTCAAACTTTTGCTTATATTCCTTTTGATTTGAACCATCACAGCCCCACTTGCAAATTCATTTTAAATTTTTAAGTTGTTCATCTGAAAAATGATTTATTACATCACTTTGTGTTGGAATTATTCGTATGCATGTATGTTCCACTAATGCTTGTAATCGAACTTTTGCACAAATTTCAGTTATTGTCATAGATTCGGGATAACATCTTTTCTTTGCTAAAGTAATTTTTTCATACGGTGGGTAAATATTGCAATTATTGAGTTTAACAGTAGACCTTAAAATATTATACTGATGCTTTGATAGTTTTGCTTCTATAATAAGGGAAAGTGCTTTATCGTCAGTGTAGGGCATAACTGATTTTGACGTTTCTTTATAAGCCTTTCTATATTTTTCTGCTCGTTTAGGTGTTGTTAATGTCACATCTTTTATCACATTAACAGCATCTAACTGGCCACTTGCACGGAGACTCATCTGAGCCGCATAAGATAATTCTGAAGAACCCACCTCGGACCTTAACAATTGAGTTTTTCTACGTTTTGTACGTTAACTACTCTTAGAGAAATCCACTTTTGATCTTCCACCCTTAACTTTCATATCATTTGAAGAAAATGAAGAAGCTTTTTACATAGGAAAACTTATTTTAGTTTCCAACCAATCAAATTTTTTTTTTTTTAAATAATCTACGTTTCGAGATAATGCAGACCATTTGGTATTAAACTGGGAAATAAAATAAGATAAAACCTTTTTTATATCCTTCGGTAATTCATTTGGATATTAAGTAATTTATAGTATATATTTTGTTAAGTGTTCATAATTTTCATGTGGATGTTTCGATTTTGTTGAACCTTCTTTTAAAATTGTATACAAGTCTCTTCTACTAAGAACAATATCATTACATCGAGATCCTATATAAAAAATTAATTTTTAAATAATATAAGTTTTAAAAGAATAATTTATTTATGATTTAATATGATCCTAATAACTATAAAATATAGGTTTACGTGCAGTAAAAATAAAATAAGTA